GTGTTGGAGAAGACTCTTGAGAGTCCCTTGGACTGCAAGGAGATCCAACCAGTCCATCCTAAAGGAGATCAGTCCTGGGTGTTCATTGGAGGGAATGATGTTGAAGCTGAAACTCCAATACTTTGGCCACCTGATGTGGAGAGCTGACTCATCTGAAAATACCCTGATGCTGTGAAAGATTGAAGGTGGGAGGAGAATGGGACAACAGAGGATGAGATGGTTGGATGGCATCACCAACTCAATGGACACGGGTTTGGGTGGATTCCAGGAGTTGGTGATGGACAGGGAGGCCTGGCGTGCTGCAGTTCATGGGGTCACAAAGAGTTGGACACGACCGAGTGACTGAACTGAACTGATGTTGCTGAAATGAACTATAATATATTAGCATTTCACTCATTTTTTTGAAAAGCAGAAAATTAAAAATAAAACACTAAAACATACCAAAAATTTAAAAACAGTGAACATCTTATACAACAAAATATGTATCTCATCAGCATGAAGAGTTGAATACAGAATGAACTGCTTTAATTTTTAAACACTTACAAAAGAAGAATCTGAAAATGTTTAAATAGTTTAACATCTAAAATTGCTGTTTGTTCAAAAATGACAAAGGTAATAAGGACTATCATCTCTGAAGAGCTAGACTCAGTGTCAGTGAATCTGGTACTGCCAGACCTTATTGGAAAGCAAGACGCTACACTGTCATCTAGAGTTGCTTGCTCCTATCTGGCTTTGGGCATGACATGTCTGTCTTCAAATGGCACAGAAGTAGTCCCTCCAGGTCAGCATCAAGACTCATTTGCAGGTGATATATGTAGAAAACCATACCTACCCCAACCACCTGCAAAGATGATTGGCGCGTGGATGGCTTAGGCAGGCCTAAGAAAGGACTTCAGGGTGGCCACAGACACTGTAAGACGTATCAGTGGATAACTACTGAGGGCCACTGTTCCATTTTACTACTGCATAAAAGTACCCCCGATTTAGCGGTTCAAAGCAACAGCTCTTTATTGAGCTCAAGGATACCGTGGGTCAGTAGTTTAGGACAGGACTTGTCTAGGTAGTTCTTGCCTGGGATCTCTCATGCAGTTGCGGTTAGGTATCGGGTTAAGCTTTAGTATCTGAAGACTGGCCTGGGCTAGACATGGCAGTCTAGACATAATACTATTAGTAGGAGTTCAACTGGGATTGTCATATTGAATATACCTTGCTTCTCCATATTGTCTGAGTGTCTAAACCTGGCTGCTGAATGTGGCTTGGATTCCTCACCGTATGGGAGGCTCAGGGAAGCTGGACGACTTACATGGTAGCTCAGGACTTAAAATCCAGTAAGCAAAGGGAACTGGATAACCTTGGACGGCATACAGCACTGCTTTTCGGATTTTGTTGGTTATGAGTAAGTCACTAAAGGTAGCTTATGTGCAAGGAGGGGGCACAAAGACCCCCATGTCTAGGTGGAAGGGTTTTAAAGAACGTGAAGACATGTGCAACCTTGCAGAAAATCCACTGCAAACAGTCTTAATGACAGGCTGCTCTATTGAGAGGGAGTCTGGTACTTGCTTCCTGAAATGGAGATCTAATAATTTCTTATTATTTATTTACAAAACTTGCTTCCAACTTTGTCAATAAGAGATCCACACTAACTGGAACATAAACAACATTCTTACAGATATCAGAAGTCTGCCTAGAGCTACCAATGTACTTTTATAGCTCGTCAATGATCCTAGTCTTTAAATGGCATTTTGTGGATCTGGACAGAATGACAATTTCCTGGGGACAATTTCCAGTATATTGATTGACACTTGTTTCTGTGTGCATCTTCTTAGTGTATTCTCTTTCCTTTTCAAAGAGAAGTCCAACTTGCCTTCCCTGGGACAAGCAGCCAGACGCTCTCATTGAGCAGTGCTCTGACCAACTGTATTTCACTTCGTGATCAAGCTGGTTGTGGAAGCTGGAAATTGCAGCACAAAGTGACTGAGGAGAAAGTGGAAAAGTAATTAATGGGAGGCTGGATAGAGTAATGAAGATGTAAAAGAGAAAAATGAAGATGGGAAATTGCTCAGGGCAGGTGGTTTGGCCGTTATGATAGTTTCTGCAGCCTATTCTCTTATTTATAAACCTCGTACATTTTGTAACTATGCAGCAATCCAAACTGACATTAAAACTCCCAATATCAGGTCTTGTCACAATGTGGGAGACACGGATTGGATCCCTGGGTTGGGAGGATCCCGTGTATTCTTGCCTGGAGAATTCCATGGACAGCAGAGCCTGGCAGGGTACAGTCCATAGAATTGCAAAGAATCGGACATGCCTGAGTGACCAACACTTTCACTTTCACATATATCTACATCTTACCTGTGAGATCTGACATTATCAGCATGTTTCAAGTGGTAGGTTAAAAGTTATTACTAATGAAACCTCTCAAATCTGACCACCAAGTCCTTCTTCACTCTACAAAGTTTTATTTATCTTTCTTAATGTCTTATTAAGTTGCTGCCATGCTGGGGGGAAGGGTTAATTCAACTTGTCCAATATTCAGCCAGACAGCCTTAGGCGAAGTTCACCCAGATTCAGAATGGTCCTTTTTATTTGCTCTCAGCATTCCTAAAGCATTGCGACAAATAAAAGGACTGCAATTCTCCGCCGTCCGCCCCCCCACCCACCCCAGATATTCTCCAAATTTCCTGAGAACTGCAATTGCTGATTTTGAATCCCCTAGCACCGCAAATTCTCCTGACTGCAAAACTTTCTTAGAGATTTAACAGGTTCCTGCCCATGGATAAACTGATAAATGACTTTGGAACCTTCGAGAAGGGGGTGGGAATGAAGGGGTTGAGGGTGGCTGGAAGTCTGCCTGTGGCGCAGGCCGGACCGGGTGCAGACCAAGCAATTCTGGGTGTAGAATCCACTGGAATACAGTGTTCCAAGACCAACTGCAGCCGTTTATGGAGGTGGACATCTGAGACTGATGTAACACTGCTGGGAGGTGGGTGCTAAAGGGATGACAAGCAGCCTCAGCTCCCACCACTTAGGACACGAAATGCATTTTTGCCTCGTAGTTTTTTGTGTTGCTCCATGTACCTGATTTGCTGGCCTCGTTTCCAAAGGGTCCCCGAGGTATGACAGAGAAATCGGATCCCAGCCACTTAGAGGCTGTAACTTCGAAGCCAAGTTTTTCCAACAGCAGCGTGCGCCGCGATGTCTAACAGGGCACATCCTACAGAATGTGCCTCATGAGGGGACAGGAAATTCCTTCCTCTTCTGTCCGCACGATGGTTAGACTTGGTGGCTAGGGAGAGCTTTGGGGGGCTGGCGGCTTCATTGCTCGCCTGGAGGTGATGAGAGGTAACCGCAAGCCCGCAGCCCTGGGGCACGTGAAGGGCCCACACGGCTCATGGGAGAGGCGGCTGGGAAGGGCCTGGTCTGAGAAAGCTCGGGACTTTCTCTAAGGGGCCGCTTTGCAACCGGCATCTTTGCCCTCGACCCTTCCGGACGCCCAGTCTTACCAGTCTACCCCGCTGCAGACACCCTGGGTGGAAATGTAGTCTACGGGCGTCTCCTGGCCTCCGGGCTTCGGAGGGGAAGACAGCAGCGGCAGGTAGGGGCAGGGGCGAGCCGGGGAGGACGCTTTCCACGCCAGAGGCTGACCCCGGAGCAGCTCCCGGGTCCGGCTGCTGAATCTGCGCTGGAGCCTGCACAGGGCGGCCTCCACGTGGGCACACGGCCCGGGGCCCCCTGCGCAGCTGGGCGGAGAGGCACCGCCTTCCTTCTGACTCCGAGAGCCACTGTTTTCCTCCTGCTTAAAAATTCCTATCACTGAAATTAGAAAATATTTTACGATAAGTTTAATTTTTTCCCCCCAAAATGGATTTACTTCTCGGTCTTTGGGCCTAATTCAGTATAGGTATAGTGTATATTCCTGGACTGCCCGTGGTGGCTCAGACGGTAACGCCTCTGCCTACAGTGCGGTTGACCTGAGTTCAATCCCTGGGTCGGGAAGATCCGTCCCTGGAGAAGGAAGTGGCAGCCCACTCCAGGATTCTTGCCTGGAGAATCCCATGGACGGAGGAGCCTGGTGGGCTATAGTCCATGGGGGTCGCACAGAGTCGGACAGGACTGCGTGATTTCACTTTCTATACTCTCTGTAAATATTCTTATTTCAAGAACTTTTCAAATATAAATATATGTTTACCTTTTAAAATATAACAAAAAACCAGATTTTTCTATTTATGAATTTTTTATTTTTAAAGAAAGCACTGGAACAGTGTTTGTTGATTTTTCTTTCTCTGGTAATCTGGAGTTTTATAGAGATGCCATATCCTGTGAACCTATGATTTATGTTTCTGAACAAATAAAATATAACAACTTTTTCTTCCCAAAGTATTAATATGAAGGAACTGTAAGAAAGAGAGGTATACCTTTTATTCAATGAAAGTTGTGAGAAAATAAGTTATAATTGGTAGCCTCAGTAAAAAATTTAACACTACCTGCACCTATGGAATATGATTTGGAACTGTGTAGCTTTCCCAAGCCTACCAGATCAAAGTGTGTTAGGAAAAACTATGGTGTTTTCCACCAAGTGTGGTCCTTGATGCCTATGTACTACTCTGGATTTCTGTGGACATAGATAAGGAATGGACAGTTAACGAGTAAAGGAGACACTCAGTATTTGGGCCTGTGAATAAACATGGGAAAGCAAAACACTTTTAATAGATTTGATTTCATAAGAAGAAAATGAGAATAGGGAAAGTACCAGAGGTTAATTAAAATTAATGTCTAAGACCCAGTGAAGAATGAGGCATAATGAGATTTAAGGCTCCTAGAAAAAGATATGCTTTGTTTCCGGGTTGCTTTGCTGTGCTTCCAGTGGGTGTACAATTCATGAAGTGCAGCGTTGCTTACTTTTGCGTGATCTAGAAAAATATTTTACGATAAGTTTAATTTTTTCCCCCCAAAATGGATTTACTTCTCGGTCTTTGGGCCTAATTCAGTATAGGTATAGTGTATATTCCTGGACTGCCCGTGGTGGCTCAGACGGTAACGCCTCTGCCTACAGTGCGGTTGACCTGAGTTCAATCCCTGGGTCGGGAAGATCCGTCCCTGGAGAAGGAAGTGGCAGCCCACTCCAGGATTCTTGCCTGGAGAATCCCATGGACGGAGGAGCCTGGTGGGCTATAGTCCATGGGGGTCGCACAGAGTCGGACAGGACTGCGTGATTTCACTTTCTATACTCTCTGTAAATATTCTTATTTCAAGAACTTTTCAAATATAAATATATGTTTACCTTTTAAAATATAACAAAAAACCAGATTTTTCTATTTATGAATTTTTTATTTTTAAAGAAAGCACTGGAACAGTGTTTGTTGATTTTTCTTTCTCTGGTAATCTGGAGTTTTATAGAGATGCCATATCCTGTGAACCTATGATTTATGTTTCTGAACAAATAAAATATAACAACTTTTTCTTCCCAAAGTATTAATATGAAGGAACTGTAAGAAAGAGAGGTATACCTTTTATTCAATGAAAGTTGTGAGAAAATAAGTTATAATTGGTAGCCTCAGTAAAAAATTTAACACTACCTGCACCTATGGAATATGATTTGGAACTGTGTAGCTTTCCCAAGCCTACCAGATCAAAGTGTGTTAGGAAAAACTATGGTGTTTTCCACCAAGTGTGGTCCTTGATGCCTATGTACTACTCTGGATTTCTGTGGACATAGATAAGGAATGGACAGTTAACGAGTAAAGGAGACACTCAGTATTTGGGCCTGTGAATAAACATGGGAAAGCAAAACACTTTTAATAGATTTGATTTCATAAGAAGAAAATGAGAATAGGGAAAGTACCAGAGGTTAATTAAAATTAATGTCTAAGACCCAGTGAAGAATGAGGCATAATGAGATTTAAGGCTCCTAGAAAAAGATATGCTTTGTTTCCGGGTTGCTTTGCTGTGCTTCCAGTGGGTGTACAATTCATGAAGTGCAGCGTTGCTTACTTTTGCGTGATCTAGATAATACGACACAACTCCTTTATTTCCCTAACCTCCTCTTAACATTTATGATTTTCTGCATTTGAGGCCCCTCACTGGGTTATAAGATTGGAATGTAACTGTTGATTTTAGTTCGCTGTCTCTGCGAAATGCATTCAGCTATCCACACGATATTTCTCATTTCTTGTTCCTTCAGCTTGGTGTATGCGTAAAACACGCCATAGTGGAATTGCCTGTTAAATGCCAGCAAGTTCATCTGTACCTGAGGAAGGAAACAAAAAAGAAAAACATTGACCATCACCTTATATGGAACATACTACATTAGTGAAAGAATAGGAAGCTACAGACCAGCTTGTTTAGTGTTTACCTGTATTTAAATAGACAATTTCCAAGTTGGGTCAAAGAAAGGGAAACAGCAGGAAATTTAGCAAGTCTAAAGGGAGAGTGTCACTTTGCAGAGAAAGGCAGACAATCAGCAGTTTAAGAAGTAAGTTTGGAAAATTATAAGAGAGGCTCCAAATCTCAGTAGCACTGCTAGCACTGATTCACTCATTCCTAGGAGGACTTCAACTGTGTGTGTGTGTGTGTGTGAGTGTGTGTGTGTGTGTGAGTAACTTGGTAGTGATATTGATTTGGCTTCTAGCTAGTGGGCTTCTCTCATTTAGATAAGATATTTTCCCTTGGCCACAACGTTTATGATTCTCAAGTCGTTTTTAGGCTACTGAACTCCTTTTCAGGGCAATGTCATATAGGAATCAAATCTGGACCAAGTGACGCTATGAGTTTCCTTAGAAACTTGACATATAGTTAAACTGTTAAAAGAACATTTTCAAAAAAATATATTTTTTTTATCTAGGGTACAGTCTGAAATGGAACAATCCCTTTATTCTTTTCCATTTAGGAAAAATAAGAGGTACTAATGCCCTTAGTTCTGAAAACCTCAAGCAAAGTTGTCAGGAAGGGGAGGCTCCCCTCTGTCAGGAGCAGGCAGGCATTTTTCCTGCCAAGGGGCCCCCTTTAACAGCTGTCTTTGCAGCAGAAGTGCAAGAGTGTGGACTTTTAAAACATCCCTAATATATGAAACAATTTGGATTGTTTTCACTTCCTTCTAGAGAGCTAGGGCTCACGCCCGGAACCTCATGGTGAGCACATCTGTCTGGATGGGACAACCCCACGCGAAGCCACCATCTGTGAACCTCAGGGCCTTGACGCTCCACGGCAGGCACACTAACTGATACTTGTCCAAGCTACGAACCTGCCTAGTCAGTTGGCCTGGTCAACTGTGAAGAGAAAACCCAAAGCGTAAAAAATAAGAAAAACCCCTAAAACCCAGAGTATGAGAAAAAGGGTGTAAACGTTAGGAGCGTTTCCATTTCCATCATACCTCACGCTCATAAAACACATCCTCCAGGGTCTTTCCCCCACTGCTGGCACTTACAGCCTCAAACAGAGGCTTGTACGCCTGAAAAAGAAAGACAAGACATCGTTTTTTAAAACAAGCTTTCACATTTTACAAGCATAAAAATTATATCTTTCCAGCAACAAAAGAATTGCGCATCTATTTTAGAACATCTATCCAGAAGGCCTGGAGGTTTTTTGTAGGCTCTTTGGTCTCTTGAGGGAATAACAAAAAAAATCCAAACAAGGAGAGTAGGGGTGGAATTCCATTCTGTTGGCTTATTCAGGCCTATAAGGAAGGAGGCAAAAGCAATTCTACTCTCTGCGCACACGGTTTGAGCTAATTCACATGTTTGTCTCTTAGCGCTGGTTAGACACATCGTAGAGGCTAAATGGTTTAATCAGTATGGGTTCACGGGTTTTTTGAGATGACAACTGATAAAATTCACGTGGAATTTTAAGTGAGGAAGGGGTGAAAACGGGGAGAAGCTCAAATTGTAGGATTATGCTCAAGAGCCTCTTGCAGTGACACAAGAGACAGTTACAGAGGTTCATGCATTGTTGGTTGGCTTATCTTTCCCTGGGGGCAAAGATGAGTGGGGTGTCATTCTAGTTCTGGAAAAGCTCCCTGGAGGGTCTGTGTGTTACTGTCTGCAAGTGAGAAGGGAGGGTGCCAGGGGATGAGGTTATAACCTTGAGCTGAGACGCTCCAGGCTGTCCAAGAGCAGCCAGGCGCGCAGTAAGAGGACGCGGCAGCCCTCTTTCCCGAATGCTGGCCACCAGCAAAGGTAGTGCTATAAACAGTATGACCATATTCTGCCCTCCTAGGAGACATTCTGTACCTAGCAATGTTTGTGCAGTGGGCACTTGAAAGGGCGGCTGGGGCAGGCTCTTCCACATAACTCTGACATGAGCTCACATTTCCACCGCACCAGTCCCTTGGGGAATTTGCTCTATCAAGCACTTTATAAAAAAAAAAAAAAGGCTNAAAAAAAAAAACAGGCTCAAATGACCATCCCCTGGAGATTTAAACAAGTACTTGCTTGGCAGGAATCTTAGAAAACACACTAGCTTGGGCTAGAAACTCGGTGTATTTCTTTGGGAGAGACATCCTAGCAAGAGAGACTGCCTTCTAGCCTATAAACATTATAACCGCATTAGATAAAGTGTCAATGTGATGTGTGGACTTTCTAAAGCACACGAGACGAAATCACGCGAGACATTCCCGGACAAACACGCACTCCGTAACTGTCTGCTACCCTCTTCATCTGCTCGAAGTCCTCGGCTTGGGCAAGCAGGCGCAGCCCCTCGGGGAAGAGCTTGCCGCAGGTCGGGTAGAGGGTCTCCCGGTCCTCTTTGCTCAACTCGGTGCCAAAGGAGTTCAGAGTGATGATAAAAGCACGCCGGTCAGCCTCAAACTTAATTTGCAAGACATCAGAGTCAGTGAAATTGAACCAGCTACTAAATGCTCTAGACAAATTCATTTTCAGAACGATCTGCCTTCTTTCCAATCTATGGCTAATTATAATGTGGACATGTGTTATTAATGTTCCCACAGTCTCTTCCTGTCATGGAGCAACTTGGCTGGCCAGAGAAGGAGCTCAGAGCAGTGACGACAGCCCAGGAGGCCAGGGCATTCCACTAAACCTCAGTTCCCAGGCTCTGTTATCAGTTACTCAAGCGTTTCTCTCGCATAGGCGCCTAGAGTCTCAAACGGCTCTTCCATAAAGATCAGAGTAAGACCTACTTGCTGGGATCGATTCAGAGACAGGACAAGATAATGCAGATAGAAGGCCCTGGCAAAATGTATAGAACCAAAAAGTCCATGTCCTACCAGTTAACCTCCCTTTCTGAATGCTGACATCAGTAGGATCTTTAAAACAAACGGGGCTACTTACCATTTGTTTGTACTTTCCTGGTATTGGTTTTCTTCTTTCAAGTCCTCGGATCCGTTCAGTTCAGTTCAGTTCAGTCACTCAGTCGTGTCTGACTCTTTGTGACCCCATGAATTGCAACACTCCAGGCCTCCCTGTCCGTCACCAACTCCCGGAGTTCACCCAAATCAATAAATCTAAGCCTGTCGCTAAGGATCATGGGACTTGGGACAAGTGACTTTGCTCTCCGGACCTGTTTCCTTATTTGTCAACGGTGAGGTCTGACCACAGGCTCTCTCAGGCGGGGTCTGTCTGCTCCCCACCTGTCTCCTCTGCGCTGAGCCCTCCTAGACACTGAGCTCCCAGCCCCGCGTGCCGACTCTCTGCTTCATCTAACTGCCAGATCCTTCTTGAAATCGCCTTCTATGTCTTCACACTCCTCTTGGTTCTGCTTCTCCCCACTCTGACCATTCCATCTCAGTCTGTCCCCCATTTCACCTCCTCTGCCTGCCAGGGGAATCTGCCGTGATGACCTTGGGCTAAGAAGGCCTGATCTCCACCTACCCAAAGCAACCTGCCCTTACCACATTATTTAAAATCTCCACGTGTGTCTTTCATCCCACTGCACTCTAAAATCTTTGAGGGGTCATGTCTGTCTTGTTCCTTATTTTTGGACATCTAGTGCCTGACACAGGAAGATCTTAAATGTTTACCAACTCCAACAGAATGGTCCACTGTCCTACCACTCTAAAATTCTCTACCATGTTGCTACCCGAGGTGTGTTTCAAGGGTTCGTAGCTTTGACATCAATGGGAAGCTTATTAGAAGTTCAGAATCTTAGACTGTAGTCCAGACCTAGTGAACTAGAATCTGCATTTGAAATGAGATCCCAAGCTTACTCATATGCACATCAGAGCTGAAATGAATGCTCTACAGAATTATTTTTTGTTTTTTTACTAATTAACCAATAGCAAATCCAGACTTAACAACAGATTTTACTGGAACTGTTTTGTTAGAACAGGTGTTTCCTATTAGTAGAGCGGGAGTTGGTTTCTTCTGATTCTTTTGATTGCTCTCATGGAAATTATGGGCACGTCAGAAGCAAGGGGAGGCCTTATATGGAAGCAAAGGCAGCTGCCTCTGGCTACTGAATATAACCAATCCTGTCAGTAATCGTAGACCTTCCAGGGTTAAGAAAAGAAATGCAAGAGGGAGATTTCATGGCAATAAGAAACCCAGTATCTGGTATATAATAAATGTTAGCTGTTAATAGTGCTATTGTATACCTCTGTAAGGTTATTATTCTTTTTTCATTTTTATTGAATGAAAGATTATTCTGTAGTGCTTTATGATTTTCAAGTTTCACGTTTCATATAATCCCATAATAACCCTTCCCCCTATTCTGTCCTTCCCCCTTCACTCCCTTCACTGGTAACCACTAGTTTGTTCTCTTTATCCCCGAGTCTGCTTCTTTTTGGTTTATTCACTGGTTTATTTTTTAGATGCCACATATAAGATAACATACAGTACTTGTGTCTCTCTGTCTTATTTCACTTAGTACAGTGCCCTCCAAATCCATCAAAATTGCTGCAAATGGCAAGATTTCTTCTTTTTTCATGGCTGAATAGTATTCCACTGTATATACGTACTACATCTTCTTTACCTTTTCATCTGTTGATAGACATTTAGGTTGCTTCCATACTTTGGAAATTGTAAATAATGCTACTATGCACATTGGAGTGTATGTATCTTTTCAAATTAGTATCTTTGCTTTTTTCAGATATGTATCAGGAGTGGAACTGCTGGGTCATGTGGTAGTTCTAGTTTCTCTCTATTTTTTTTTTTTTTTTGAGAAAATCCCATACCATTTTCCACAGCAGCTGCACCAATTTATATTCCTAGCAACAGTGATGATGGTTTCCTTTTCTCCACATCCTTGCCAACATTTGTTGTTTATATTCTTTTTGGTGATAGTCATTTTGACAGATGTGAAAGTTATTAATCTTAACATAACTCTTTCCCATATATTTGTTAGGTACAAAGTATGTGAATCATTGCTAAGTCACAGGAATTATGCCATGTAGAATCTATACTTTGAGTCATAGATAATGTGGCTTTTTATAAAGTGGCTAGTACTTAAATTTATGAAAAGAAAGTGAGGTGCTTCAGAGGGTCACTAGGCTGCTTGTGTTATGTGCTCAGCATGTCTGGAACTCACTTTTTGACAACTGGCATGCCTTGAAAAAATCTTTTTTGATGCCCACTGCCTGTGTAATACAGATAGAGATAGAAAATATTTTTGGAGTCCTCCAAAGAGCTCTTACTTCAAGGGCTGGTTTGACTTTAAATTTTCAACAGTATCTTAAACTATAAAAGTTCAATAATTAGATATTTGAAGGGAATTACTTTTATCAAGGGGCTTCCCAGGTGGTAGTAGTGGTAAAAAACTTAAACTGCTAATGCAAGAGATGTAAGAGATGTGGTTTGATCCCTGGGTCGGGAAGACCCCCTGGAGGAGGGCATGATAACCCACTCCAGTATTCTTGCCTGGAGAATCCCAAGGACAGAGGAGCCTGGTGGGCGACAGTCCATGGGGTTGCAGAGTTGGACACGACTGAAGCGACTAAGTGCACACGCACTTGTATCAAACGCAGCATCAGAACATTAGGTTAAAATACATGCAGATGACGTTATTTCAGCTTTTTTTTTTCTTCTTCAATGAACAGTTCTTATCAGGCTTTTCTTGAAATCAGAAGTCATTCAAATTTGTAAATATTAGTATCTACCCAGTCCTGAGTGTTCATTGGAAGGACTGATGCTGAAGCTGAAACTCCAATATGTTGGCCACCTGATGCAAAGAGCTGACTCATTTGAAAAGACTCTGATGCTGGGAAAGATTGAAGGCGGCAGGAGAAGGGGACGACAGAGGATGAGAAGGTTGGATGGCATCACCGACTCAATGGACATGAATTTGAGTAAACTCTGGGAGTTGGTGATGGACAGGGAGGCCTGGCGTGCTGGTTGCAAAGAGTCGGACACGACTGAGAGACTGAACTGAACCCACCAATGAAGCCAGTATAACTGATAATCTAATGATTAAGGACATTCTTTAGACAAAACTTCTTTCCACAAGGCAAAGCAAGAGCTTTCTAAGCCCAGTAAGTTTTTTTGTTTTGTTTTTTGGCTGTGCCACGTGGCTTCAAGGATTCTTAGTTCCCCAACCAGGGACTGAACCTATGCTCTTGGCAGTGAAAGTGAAGAATCCTAGCACTGGACCACCAGGGAATACTTTTGTTTTTTTAAGATCTAAGTGAAATAGTAAGTCAGCAAGAGAGATCCGGGTAAAACACTCAGCACAAACTACACCCAGAATTCTCTGATCCCCTGATCTCTAGCTTGAGTCTCCCATGTGTGTGCAGACTGACATTTGCAAGCAAGAGGGCCTCTGGGCACAGACGAAAGCTGTGATGATGAAGAGGAATTAAAGGGAGTATAATATCAGTTAGAGAGGTGGGCGCCGATGGTGGCATCTGCCACTCTGTGAGGAGTAAGTGGGCATGCCAACTGTGAATCACCACCCCTGGTCTTTCTGCTGGGAGTGGTGATGCTCAAGGGTTGCTCGTGGAGGCCTGTCCTTTAGGACTTACATGAGGAGCGCCACCCACAGTGGGTTTTGTTGACAAGTTGTGGGGGTTCCCAACAGGCCCAAAGTCGGGAGGGAACTTGGTGATTGTTATGGGAACCTATAATGCACCAGTTGTCCAAAGCATACTAAGTTTTTAATGAATTATAATCTGCTTTCTTCCTACTACATCCAAGTAAATCATGATCAAATTTCTATAAGCATTATTCTTTTTTAATTTCCAAATAAGCTCTTCTCTGTAGAAAACTAGGAAAACACCACTCTTATTTGAAGACATCAAATGATAACATAATAAAATATATTGCTATTTTATTTCTAGATAAAATAACTTCTAAAAATAAAAAAATGGTAGGATTATATAAGTAAAAATCATGTAAGCCCGTTATTTGGCACAAAAAAGTCAAGGTCTCTTTCTTACCTCCAGAATGGGACACATGACTTCTGCTGTGACATCACCATGATTCTTACAGAATTTGTAGAATGCCTCGATGTAGGACTTAAAAAGAAGAAAAACCACAAAACAAGAAAATGAACATATTTTCCTTTTAGAAATTTCTAGATCAGTTTTTCACAACTTATTAAACTGTTTAATGAAAATTGAATTACTTCTCCCATAGGGGGATATCTTATAATACTTTCACCTTGCAGTACATTGCGGAGCCTTAAAAGCAAAACTCCATAAAAGAACAAAATCGAACTTATCATAGCTTGAAATAACTTACCAAGCACTTTTTTGCATGGCTCTTGGATTATTTCATAGTTAATTCTCGCTATTCTAACAAGAGTATGAAACTCTCTTATGAGCTCAGCAAATAAATCCAGAATTGGGCGTATGAAAAAGTGAAAGTCCAGCGCTCAGGAGACACATTTGGGATGGTGCTGAGTGTGGACCATACACGGGGAAGACAGAGTCTAGGCGTAGAGTCAGGCGGTCTGTGTTTGAGTCTCAACTCTATTACCTACTAGCTCGCTGACTTCTGCCAACTAAATTTACCTCTCCACGTTTCAGTTTTCTCATCTGGGGAGTGGAGATGGCACGTAGATTTGCTGAGTAGAGTAAATGAACTCATGCCTAGAAATGCTTAAAACAGTGGCTTCTGCGAGCTGTATCTCAGGGATGCCTCCTCTAAGCCCATGGTCTCTTTATAAAAAGGAAGCAGCGGCAACGCAGTGCCTTGGAGAGGAGGGTTCATATGTCGCAGCATGAGAAGCTAGATGGAGGGCACACCCGTCCAGCTGCTCTGTGGGAGTGTAAAGATGCTACAGTCGCATGGGGGACATGACAGCCCCTGGGACTCAGCCCGTCACACAGAGCATCTCAGAGGGCAGCGGCATGGTCCAGAGAGACGCTCACGCTGCACAAGGTGGTGTGGTGTCCACGGGTGGGTCATCCTGGTGTGCACTGTCAGTAAATTAAAATTCTGTGGGCAGGTTCACTGTGAGACTCACGGACTCTGTAACAGGGTTGAGGTCAGAGATGAAAACTACATAACACAGGGTTCACGGTGTAAGCTGCTGCTTTTGAAATGGACTGACGTTGTTCACCCCACTCATCTATCTACCTATCCATCCTTCCATCCATCCAGTTGACACCTTTTATGTGCCAGGCACCACGTAAAAGCTAAGGATACAGAGAAGAATGGGATCATCTCAGGAATCTTGCTGGATGGCAGAAGTTGACATACGAGTATTTAACTAGAAGACAGGTCAGGACTAAAAAGAGCTTTGTTCCCATGATGCCTGACTTCACAGTTCAGAAGCTGGCTAGCAAGTGCTAGCGCTAAGTCACTTTCAGTCTTGTCCGACTCTGTGCGCCCCCATGGACTGTAGCCTACCAGGCTCCTGTGTCCATGGGATTCTCCAGGCAAGAATATCGGAGTGGGTTTCCATTTCCTTCTCCAGGGGATCTTCCCGACCCAGGGATTGAACCCACATCTCTTATGTCTCCTGCATTGGCAGGCGGGTTCTTTACCGCTAGCACCACCTGGGAAGCCCAAAACCAAACAGCTGAGCCGATCATCGGTCAATACAGAGAAAGTGTTAGTTGCCCAGTCGTGTCCTACTCTTTGCAACCCAGGCAAGAATAATGGGGTAGGTTGCCATTTACTTCTCCAGGGGATCTTCCTGACCCAGGAATGGAACCTGGGTCTCATGCTTTGCAGGCGAATTCTCTACCAGCTGAGCTGCTAGCAAGTAAGTAACATCTGATGAAGAACTCTGGTTACAATGTATTATATAATAAAGGAGAACATCATATCTGGGGAAACAGTTACCTTGTACAGTTTATTACGCAGGATTTCAATATTCAGTTCATCTAGAGCATTTTCAGATGTACAGTCTTGAAAGAATGGAGCTGAAAGCAGAAATTATCATCCAAAATAAATCAAAAGAGGATTTTAAATTGTAGAAAATGTCTCCTGAATGTACCACCCCCTCCTCACTGCTAACTAGGACAACTGACAGCCTCAATGAAGCTAACAGTGGCGGTGATGGGGGAGTGACTCCTGAGGAAGCATTTGCTCTGCCCAAGCCCTCAGTAATCACTGGATACACTTGAACATTTTCAGTCCTCCCAACCTTGTACTCCTCACTTTATGGTTTCCGCTTTTGAAGTCCCTCTCCACATCAGCCAGCCATAGTTACCATTTGCAACCTTACGATGTGACAAGTATGGAGCTGTATTAAAAACTGTCCTAGTTTTTAAAACTCTTTGATAGGAAGACAGTATTGTTTTCAGCACGAGGAAACTTGAGTGAAATGAATTGTCCCATGTCCCTTGGTTGGGGGTGGCAGGGCCTGGCTTCATGCCTGTGAACATGGGTTTTCAGACTCACTGTCTTTCGGCCACACTATGCTCCTGGAGCAACCGACCCTTAATATTAATGCAATTACTTTTCTTTTTAAAGCTTGTTTTAAATGGTAGCTATTACGATGAATGATCAGCAGAGAACTGCTATTATCAGGGTTCCCTGACAATGGAGGTATAAAATGATTCCTTCAGCGTTTTAAATGCTGCAACTATTGTCCACGCCAAAGTATGATGGCATTGACATTTATTTTCTCACTGCTTCAGGTCGTTTGCCAGGCACTCCTGAGCATCTCAGGGAAAAATGGCATTCCCAAACTTCCTGAAACAAAGTGTTTCCCAGACACAGCCCTATACAGAAATTTAAAATGAAAAGGTAAGGAACTTAATCACCTAAAACACAGCTAGAAAATTTTTTGAAAAATTACAAATGTTATCATTTATTTGCTGTGATCAGGAGTGAAGCCCATGGGTTTGGATGTTGGAGGGTGAGGCCTGGCCCTGCTCGGCTATCAGTGGTCTGCGTGGGGTCTGGGGCGGTATTACATCACTTGTCTTGACTTGAGAAAGGAGGGAGCTGGACCAGATGATTCTGCAATGTCCCCTTCCCCTTCCAGGAATCTGTATAGTATGACACTGCGTTCATGGAGACAACTGTGAGTTGCAAGTGCGTTTTCTAATGGTGTGATGACATGCACAAACAGCCGCACGGTGAGTTGGGCGCTTGCACCTAAGGGTGTCTCGACCAGAATGGCGTTGAAGAGGTCTGAAGGCGTCTCTGCAATGTTGACCGCCTCCATTTCCGTGAAGTGGCCTAGAGGGTGGCACTTCCCCAGGATGTCCTTCACGGGTTTGCTCTGCAGAGCGCCGTTCATCAGGAGAATCACGTTGTCTATCATGTAACTGCACCTGGGGTGGAAGGAGCACGCGGTCGTTAGGAACACGATTGCATGAGGATAAGAAGCACCCCACAGGTTAAAGCAACACACACCATTCAGGCACGTCCTCGTTCACGAAGGAAATCACATCTCCTTTCATTTTAAGCTCTGGAGTATGAGAGATGTGGGTGGGGTAAGACACATGACTCTCAGAGGGAACTGTAGTTTGAAAAACCATATTCATAGCTATAATAACTGACTGGTGGAACCACGTAGGAGATGACCCTACACACTAATTATCGTATGTGGGGGGCGGGGCTGGGGGCAGAGAGCTGCGAGGGTGTAAGATTGTTTGATTTCTCATAATGGACTATGGCCTGACAAAGTTGAGAAACAAAGAACTGAAGGATTTCTTTCTACTTTAAAAGCTGACTGTTGAAATCTGTGATGAAGCCCCATCACTGAGGATTCAAAGTTTTAAGTATTTAAAATAAAAAGGGATAAAATTAACATATTCATTTTAAAATTAAAATGTTTTATTTATTTAAAATTAGACTGTTCCAGTCTTTTTCTCTTATGAGGGAGTGAGCTTTCTAACCTCTTCCCCCTCCCAGAACCCCAAGAGTCCGTAGATTCACACTTTATGTGATTTCTTTCTTCGATACAAAGCCCTGTATTCTAAGGATGTTGCAAACGATGAGGTGAAGAAGTAAGAGAGACACAGTCGCCTCCTTTGTAGAGAACACAGCTTAAGGGAGGTCCTGGAGAAGGATCTACTGGGATGACCTGCAGCGCAGCCTGCAGGCTGTGCAAAGATTGCAGGGTGGCGTGCGGCTTCAGGGCTGGGCGCTTAAACCTGTCTGGGATCCGACTGATGAGGTGATTGGAGGGCATCACCGACTCGATGGACACGAGCTTGAGTAAACTCCGGGACAGGGAGGACTGGGGTGCTGCAGTCCATGGGGTCGCAGAGAGTCGGACACGACTGAGCGACTGAACTGAATTGGGATCAGACTTCCTAGGGAGTGACTTCAGGCTGCAACTTGCAGAATGAGTAAGGGCTGTCTAAGCAAAAGTGGCTGGGAATGGGGCGAAAGAGCGCTTGCAGGCAGAAGGGAGAACACGTGGAAGGCCCCAGAGGCAGAGAGCTAGGAACAAGGACATCCTTCGGCCTGAGGCCGAGTGCTGGAGGTGGGGCCCAGGCTGAACAGGCGGTCCTGAAGGACAAGATGAGGAATGTAGACCGAGGGCCCTGGGAGGTGCTGAGTGCCTGTAAGGACAGGGGAGAGTTATGATCTCTGTAGACGAAACAGGCAGTAAAACAGAGGAGGGAAATGCACTTACATGGCAAAGTGCTTTACAAAAGTCGTACTGCATTTTTATTTAATTATGATAATCACACTGTAATGATAATAGGTACTATTATTAATGAAATTTTATAGCCGAGCAACTAGAGGCCCAGACAGGTAAAAATCTCAGCCATGATGACACAGCTAACAAATGAGAGAGCTGTGTGTCAAACTCGGTCTGCTCCTGGAACCTTTCTCTGAATGCTCAGGTTATGTTGTGTTTAGTTGTCAAGGATGACGCATCGGTTTCTGGTTTTAACAGTTAGAAGCTGGAGCCATTTATTGAGATGCGAGCATTGGAGGAAGAACAGGTTATAATAGGAGCAGGTTTGGGGCAGAGTGAGCTCAGATGCCCAGGAGGAGATACCAGGCGGGCTTCAGCCATCTGAGTCTGAAGACAGCGGTGGGGCAGAGACGGTCAGGGAACCGGGCAGTTTAAAGGTAGAAGCAGATGTTTGGGAGTGCTTGAGGTCACACCTTGGCTGGTACCTCAAGAGTGCAGTCCTGAGAACTCTGGGGAGCCCCAACATTCAAGGCCCTGGACAGAACTCAGCAGGAATGAGCAGACGGTAGGAAGAAAGCCACAGGAGGCAGTTCTAGGACGTTTCAGAAAGAAGACGTCAAAGGCCACAGGAAAATCAAGGTGGACATTAAAGCAAGTGTTCTCAGGATGCAGCCACAAAGAGGTCCTCTAACGCCAGAGCAAACATGCGTTCAGGGGGGTTTGCTTGTGGAAGGGGAAGGGAAGAAGGCAGAAAGCTGGCCACTGTGTGCTTAGAACAAGAGGGAAGTAAAGAGGTTTTGTTCACTTTGTTTTTTAAAAGAGTTCACGCTACAGGGCAGCGGAAGGTAACTAATATGGAGACCTAGGGGCTGAAGGAACTTTGGACTTCCAGTTTTGGTGTTTTTCCCCTGAAGATGGGAGCGAAGAGAACATGATTAAGAGCTGAGGGGAAAGAGGCAGCGAGAGGCTGAGGTGGAACAGCCGGAAGGGACAGCTAAGCGGTGAGACACAGTCCTCAGGTCTGACAGCAAGGGGACTCACCCACTGCACACTTCAAGCTTGAAAAACAAACGCCTTTCAGGACTTCCCCTGGTGGTCCAGTGGGTAAGACTCTGCCTTGCAATGCACAGGACGCGGGCTTCATCCCTGGGCACAGAGCCAAGACCCCACATGCGACTAAGCTCCCGCGCCTCACTAGAGAGTCGTGTGCTGTAAACTAGAGTCCACGCGCTCTGGAGCCCCGCCATAACCACAGAGGCCCAGGCACCGCGACGGAGGATCCCGCAGGCCACACTAAGACCAGACACCACAAAGCTGAATAAATAAATATGAAAAAAACCCCAAACCCACCTTTCACTGGATGAAAATAAGCCTGTCCACTCAGAAGCACTGTCACTGGAGTCTGGCTACCTGGGTTACAGACTTCCTGGGCAAGAATGCATTTCCAGCAGGAAAATAGTCTCCTGCATGTCCCCTGAGCTTCTCAAAGTTATCCCAACAAAAATTTTACCTAAAGGAGTTTAGAAGAAGGCACGTATCCCTTCATGAAATTGTGTAACTATAAAGTTTCTTCATCCCCTCCAAACAGCAGTGCCGTATTTAGACATTATGGAATTGGAGAATCCTTTTTATGTCCTGAAAAGGATATTAAAATGGAAGTGCTTATTTAACTGTCCCTTTATGGCTCAGAAGCTATTACCTGAGAGGGGAATTGCCAGCACTTAATAATCTTAGCAGACTCGAGATATTTAATTGTTCCCCACAGCACCCCTGTGATGTAAAAGCAGGTTAGCCGCCAACATTCCCGATTTGCAGAGGACTGTTAGACCGACGCTGAGGGGGCCGAACAAAATCAGTGAGACTTCAGCCCACAGGTCACAAGACTCAAGCCCATGCCTGTATAGTGCCTGTGGGCATGTGTGTATTGGGTGCTTTTTTTTTTTAAAGTTAATGGAGAGGCTAGTCCTACATTGCAAAGAGAAAGGCGTATGGAGATTGAATTATTTCAACTCCTTTAAGTGGCCTTGTTTCCAAGATAGGATAATAATAGCAGTTCTCAGCTGTGTCCAGAAAACAAGTGAGAACTCAAGACTGGACCACAGCAGGGGATGGGCGTCTCTTTCCTCACCTCCATCACACAGGCCCCGGGTGCATAATGAGTGGCGGTTTGCGATGGAAGGGGATAATATGCCCAGAAGATAGCTTGTTCTCTCCAGACAATAATCCTGATAACCTTCAGGGCCATGCCTCCAGTGGTCAGGAATGAAATCTCTAATGGGTCACTTGAGTCATGTTTGAGTTTAAAGTCACCTGGCTGCTCGCCTAGTTCAAACTCCTCATGTTTTAAATACTTGTGCTTATAAGTAGTAACAGAGCCAAGACTTGTGTCCACTCAGTTGGGTCAATGTTTTTCCCACTCATGGTCTAGACAAACATTCTCACTGAGCCCCTTCTAAATATTTTCTCTATAACGCTGACATCGGCACCTCTGAAAATCATGAAGCGAGGTGAAGTGAAAGTTGCTCAGTCGTGTCCAACTCTTTGTGACCCCATGGACTATACAGTCTGTGGAATTCTCCAGGCCAGAATACTCTCCCTTCTTCAGGGGATCTTCCCAACCCAGGGATGGAACCCAGGTCTCCCGTATTGCAGGCAGATTCTTTACCAGCTGAGCCCCCAGGGAAGTGCATGAATGAGCCTAAAATTGTGAGAGTAAATGACACAATTTCAGAAAGTTCAGGTTTTAAAAAGACGAATTTTTAAAATGCCAACCTTGCTTGAGGTTGTTAGCACGTGTCAGGCATCACATGCGATACACGCATGGCTCTGCTCAACGCCCCCCACCAGCCGGTGCGTGAGGGCCGCTTCACACGGAGGAGCCAGGCTGTGGGGCTCCACACCCCATCCACGGCCACCCTGCTGCTCAAGGCCCCCCACCAGCCGGTGCGTAAGGGCTGCTTCGCACGGAGGAGTCAGGCTGTGGGGCTCCACACCCGGTCCACGGCCACCCTGCTGGAGAGGGGCAGCGCTGGGGCCCCACCCCACAGCCCGGCTCCATGCTGGACTTGGGCAAAGCGGCTTCGCCCAGAAGGCATTTTAATATTTCCTTTAGGACTTCATGCTGTTCTTTTTCCTTCTGCTCCCAAACTTATTTAAGGATCTCGAAGCTAACTAAATTAACTTTCCTGTGATATAACTGTCAAATTCTGGGCTAATATAACAGTTGCTATATGGTCAGACACTAGAGCGAGCCATAATTTGGTGTTAGTGGAACTGTTCTGTGAATAAAAGTTTTAAGTACTTAAGTGTCATTAGCAGCGGCTGAGAAATGACCATCATTCCCGAAGCACTGTGGCGCGAGATAGTTAGGCAAAGAGAGGTATAAGAACTATACCTCTATAAGCAAAGAACTATATTCTTCTTTTACGAATATAGTTAGGAGAGGTTCAGAAGAAAGTGGTCATGTCCTTTCTGAAGACACGTCTACTAAGATGGTAGGCAGAGGGAAAAGCCAGAGGATTTTACAAATCCTTTAGGCTTCTCTGGTCGGATTTTGGTCTAACCATATCATGCACTATTTGACACCCCCCCCCCAACCAAATTAATATTCAAGATATATGAAAAGGAAAACATTCATCAATAGAGTGAAATGAGGGGAAAAAGAGATTTCAATAAGTT